ACCACTAGTTGATTTTAAGTTTAGTTTACTATCCTATAATACAGTATTTAGAAATTTATTAAACTTAAATTAAATTTAGTAGAAAATTTCCAAATATAGAATTAGTATATGATACACTCGTAAGCATAATTGCTCGTATATAATACACTCGTAAGCTTAAAACGCATAATTGACTAATAGAATATTTTTACATAATTAGAAGGTGTAAGTATAGAAACTAAAATGGGACCTAAATTACATGAATTATTTATGATTAAATTTGACGAAATATTTTTTTAATTGTGTAGCGCCATCTGTTATAATATTTTATTATAAAATCATTATATATTATTAATTTTTATAAAATAGCAAAAAGCTTAATTTTGAGGGTGGAGACGAGTATTTATAGTTTTTTTTTTCTTTTTATAGAAAAAAAATTGTAAATACTAATAACGAATAAAGTATTAAATTCGACCCCACTCGAAATACGACACGTGATTCCGTCTAGATCTCCACCCCCTCCACCTTTGACCACCAAAATTTAGCAGCAACAATGCCCCTAATACGCAAACCTNTTTTTCTTTTTATAGAAAAAAAATTGTAAATACTAATAACGAATAAAGTATTAAATTCGACCCCACTCGAAATACGACACGTGATTCCGTCTAGATCTCCACCCCCTCCACCTTTGACCACCAAAATTTAGCAGCAACAATGCCCCTAATACGCAAACCTTCCTGCAAAAGAAAATTTTGACAAAAGGCACAGGAGTCATTAATTAAACTCTAAAGTTAGTGAACAAAATTGCACCCCCCACATACTAACATCCATATATACAGAAAAAATCCCACATTTTTTTTCTTTGCGTAGGAAAAAATATAATACAAGGACTAAAAGTTAATTTAAAGTATCGACTAAATAATTACCCAAATCTAATATCGAAGAAATGGTACAATCACTTTCTCCTTCACAGATATGACGTAAAAAAATATTGGCAATGAAGTGGTCTACACGAAATTGCCTTATATGAAAAATGTTTTCAGAAAATGCGGAAATTTAATATATGTATTACCCTTACATTATGAAATAAATTTAAAAATATACTCCACAGAAATAATAGGGCAGAAATTAAAAAGGAAAAAACAGGCAAGGCAAGTATAATTTACAAATTAGAATATCAATTCACGTATTATTACGTAAGAGGGACAGACAGAACTCAATGGCGCGTTATACTCGTAGCTTCCTGGGGAAATTTGAATTAGGGGTCCTATGTAGTGTTGACTTCGAACATTTTTCTTCGGGAAATTTTGGGAGAAATTTTTTTTATAAAAGATTGATTTGGTGCCCCTTATCGGTGGGGATACCGGATAATTGCCCTTTATGCTATAGGATAATGCACCATTGACAGAACTTTAGGAAAAAGATTAAAAGAATACGATGCCATTATATGTCTTAAATATACACAATCATGATCGTTCCCTGAACACTGGGTGGTGCGTTCGCGCCTTGCCCAGACGGGCTGGCCACGTGTAGTTTTCCGGGTTTTCTCCACGTCTGTAACACTTGAATAGAGGCCAGTTACTCTTAAAAGACCTCCAAGAATGCATTATTCCCTGCATAACGACCATTATAAACGCATACAACCACTATTACATGACAATTACGTCACACTTTACCACGGAGTGATATAGCCTAGAAGCTCATGCCCAACTCAGCCAAGACAAGACAACCATCATGGAATCATACGGAAAAGATAGGAAGGATAATAGAAAAATCGGTTAATGTCCAGATACGTGGACTGTCATGGCGGCATTTCCTGTTTTCCGACTGCCAGCCTCGACACCGGAGCGGTTTGGAGACGACATGTCACGTGACGACGCGAGCGAACGTCGGCGGCTGTCATAGCGCCTCATCGCTGATTCCAGCAAACAAAAGGAAACAGTGGGGACGCACGTTCTAACCTAACCTAACCTATTCTAATAATATAATTGGTAATAATTATGATAATTTATTAGAATAGGTTAGGTTAGGTTAGAACGTGCGTCCCCACTGTTTTCTTTTCTTTGCCGGAATCAGAGATGAGCCGCCATGACAGTCTACGTATATGGACGTTAACCTGCGCGGCGGTTTTCCCCGTTTGCCGTTCGCTCGCGTCGTCACGTGACATGTCTCCAAACCGCTCCGGTGTCGAGGCTGGCAGTCGGAAAACAGGAAATGCCGCCATGACAGTCCACGTATCTGGACATTAAGCGAAAAATCTTACACATAAAAACAAAAGGAAATTTAAATAACACAGCAATAAAAAAGTTTACGTAAAGGAAATCTGTTAAGCACGTGTAAAGGAATGCAAATTACCAAGAAGTGGTACGGCATCACGTGTAGTAATTGTGCGTAATTCTGGAAACGTAGTAATCGGATGGATACGATATTGTTATACTCTAGCGTAACTCCAAGTTTAGTTTTAAAGATTTTACTAGGTTAATCTAAAACATTTATAATTTAATGTATTTTAAGGATATGGTTGACTCAATACAAGGAATTTACGTTGTATTGGATCATTATATTCCATTGTATTTTATTACATTTATTTTTTAATTAATTTTGTAGTTATATATCTTTTACTTAATTCGATTAAAACATTTTTCTCTAAAAGCTGTTAACAAGTTTCCGGCAACCAAGCTTATCATCATTATACGCGCAAGTAAATTAGCTTAATGGTTGTTTTTAAGTTTGAACAACGGCCCTACTAATTTCTTTCTTCTAGTTTATCCTTCTTGCTAGAACTCTTTTATCTTTTGTCAGCATTTCAAAAAGCTTGCAAATGACTGCCAGTCATGTCTATTGTTCTGTCAAAGTACACTGAATAAACAATAGGCTCGATGACACTTCTTAACCCCCGGGGATAATATCTAACGAGTAAGCTTTTAAGCCATTACTGCTTTTAATTACTAACCATTTACTATTAAGTCTGGGCGGCCTTAGGGAGTTGGCGAGCAGGGCAATCGCCCGGGGCCTCGCTCTTGAAGAGCCTCGCGCAACAACCAAGTAGAAAAAAGTTGATATTTAAAACTTTTTATTTTATCCTTGGCTATTAGTTATAACAATAAAATAAATTTAATTTATAGTACAGTATATATTAATATTAATAAGTGCCTACTGTTTCAATTCATATACTTTGCACAAAGGACAAGGGCCTCGCAAAGATCTGCCGCCCAGAGCCTCGCAATGGATAAGGCCGCCGCTGAGTACTGTACAGTACACGCTCTTTATTAACTTTGCCGGATTTAACGTTTACAGGTCGATCTTGACAAATTTTGCTCGAACCAATCTTATTACAAGTCATTAAGAAGCGATATTCATCCAACAAGTGCCTTTATTATATCACGTTTCGGTGTTGTTTTCTATGTAACTTTATAGAAAACTTACACCAACAATCTTCGTTATCAAGCATTCGACGAACTTATTGTAACGCCGTTTTGTAAACACTTCATTCAAAATAGCTACCGATGTATACGCTATATAATACAATTTACTTTGAAAGTTTAATAAATAATAAGCATTTAATTTATTAAATGAAATATACGTTATTTCTATTATATAACATAAACTTATAAACTTATTCTAACTTTATCCAAATGTAATTTATTTTTACGTTGTCAAAATATCATCCGCATTCACCTTAACAAAAAGTATTTGTTGTATTTAGAATGTGTTGTTTATGACGTCATGAGACTGCACGTGTGCTCGATGACAAAAATGAATTTCTTCAAATCGAACGTTATCGTGACGTCAACTATCAGGCATCAAAACTTGCCTATTGTTATCCTTTCACCCGAAAGTAATTTCTTAATGGAGTTAAGTGAAGTGTTATGATTTACTATTTAGAGCAATTAAAACTAATTAGGTATATTAAAAATGAACACTTCTACCTTTTAGCCTTAGTTTAAACATTCTAAAAATTCAAAAATGTAGAAATTTTACTTCCTGATTTTCGATTATTTTGTTAGAATAAATCTGATAATGCCCAATAAAATTTTGTGAAAATTATTCATTAAATCAAACTTCCCGATTTTTCAGCAGTCGTAAAATTTTTAAATTAATTCCTACTCCTGTGAGGGAGTCTTTGGTAGTGTTATCTTACGAAGAATTCTATTGGTTTCGTTCCAACTTAATTAAAGTACTGTTGCTCTTATAAATAAACGTTATTAGTAACTTATTAATGCACGATATCTATCTCGGTTACTCGAATTTAAATTATAACTAGCAATTAATTATAGTGAAATCGTCACAATGGAGGGTTGCAATTTTTAATATTTTAATTTAAAAATAAGCATTCCACATCTGGTCTCGATTTTCGTCTATCTAACTGCGTTCTCGAGATTAACGAATAACAGACAGTGAGATTTACCAAATATTTTAATGTAATGTTTAAAATTGTGTATTATTTTTTAAAAATCGAAAGTATTCCATCATTAAATTAAACTAAATTAAGAAATTCAGTAAAAATTGTAAACAAAATATCCACGATGACAATCAAAGTTAAGCAAAGTTAAGATAGGAGTGAAAGAAATTTTGAACGTAAACTTTTATAAACATCTTTGCTATTTAACACCCTCAAAATTACTTTATTCGTATTTACATGGTATCATACCGTACAAAATTTAGAACAATTAAAAACTGTGTAAATAAAAGGGTTCTCCTATTCTTTAATTATTTCTTAAATTTTAGAGTTTCTTGTAAGTACTTATTAACGGAACTTTTATCTTTAGGGGATTTGACCAGGTGTTGAACCTGGTTCTGACAAGTTGTTTATGAAATGGATAAAATGGAAGCTGGTTCTGAAATGGATTAAGGATCCCCCACAGCGATTGACCATCAGTAGTCTCGCCCATTAATTACTACAAAATTTATTTAAATTTACAAATAATAATTAACGTATTTAGACCTGCATAAAGTTTAAATTTCTAAGATCTATCATTAAAGTATTTTATAGTTTATTAAAATTTACAAAATAAATTTACCTTTTCTTTGCGTGTTTTCCTGCGTTTCTTTAGTTTTTTCCTCTTATTTTTACATTTATTTTCATCATTATCTAAATGTAGGCGTTTGAAGTCCATCGATCCGCATGATTCGTTGTCATCACTACATCGTTTTCCATAAAATAATTCGTTGTCATCACTACATCGTTTTCCATAAAATGATTCGTTGCCATCACATGGTTTTTCATAAAATGGTTCGATATTCTCATCTGACATCCAGTCATCTGTCATCCAGTCATCTGACATCCAGGAAGACATAGCACAATCCATAGCTGAAATATAAAACGACAAGAAAAAAATCAATGATAAAATTCAATAATAATATTTACTATTTTTTAAAAAAATTAAAATTCTAATAAACTTTTCATGTGTACAGTATGTATGCGATGTATCGGACGGGCCTCCTTACGGTATGTGCCACATCATATTAAAGTTATTTATAAACTTTTTCGGAATATCGTTTCTTACTCATTCAATGTCAAAGATACTTTCTATGAAGTAGGAACTGTTTCTATTCTACTGAAACATTTCAAAAAAATAACTTATAAAATTGTAACGGGTCATTTTATAACTTGATGGGTGAATGCACGATTTCAAATTAATTGAATTAATTTATCTTCTGCAATCTTTTACTGACGAAATATTGCAATTATATACTATTAAATCGATTTTTTTAATATATAAGTGATATAAACTCACCTTTATTTTCATATAATTCAAGAGGGGCAATGTCAGTTAATTCACAATTGCCGAAATCCTTATTTTCTAATGGTTGAAGTGGGACAAGCTCGGTTAAATGCTTGTCGACATCTTTACTGTCTAATTGTTGAAGCTGGGCAAGCTCGGTTAAATACTTGTCGACATCTTTACTGTCTAATTGTTGAAGCGGGGCAACCTCAGTTAAATAGTTGCTATCATTATTTTCGAATGGTTGTTGCGGGGCATGCTCAGTTAAATACTTGTTGATAATATTATTTTCGAATGGTTGAAGCGGGTCAAACTCGGTTAATCCAGAATTGTAGAAATCTGATTCTTCCATTCTTTCTCAATTTGACAGGTAGTTTCCTTTAATTAAAAATACAAAGATGAAATCGATTAAGATTTTCGTAGTTTTATTATAAATTTTAATTATAATTAATGTCTCTTTGCAACGTATACAAGTTTTTACAAGCATAAATTTAATAAATATTCGTTTTACGTACGGTTGATCAATTGTTAGTACGGTTAAAGTTTACCTACGTACGCCGCGCTTCCGACTGTTTGTGCTCCCGACGGACTCTAGGGAAGCCGCCAATTGTTTAACGTCACTAGTTATTAATTCGCGGTAATTCCTGAACAAAAGAAAAAAAAAACGAAACGTCTACTAAAATTATAGTTAATCTAACCTAACCTAATCTAACTTAACCGAAGCAAACAGTCGCGACAGCCGCCATGACGGTACACATAGGTAAGGATTGACCAGCCTTTACAGTCAATTTTTTACACAATAGTAATTCTGACAATCTCTTCCCGTTATAAATCTATCTTTAAATTTTAAAATTATTACTTTCGTTAATTGTTTTTCTATTCGAATAAATATAATATCAATTGAATACTTACCGTTAGAATACACCTACTCTGACAAAACCTCGTACCTCATGAAACTACGGGCCATATTGTGATCACTGTTTCAGGTCTCGTGTCTCTCGCAAGCCGGTCGCTGATTGGCTAATCCAAATGACCAGAATACGGCTCCACGTGCTTAAGCACATGTGTACAAACATTCAAATTCCCACACGGTCTGAACAGCGCCACCTAAGTTTTTTCACTTTTAAAGTATGACGTGTGCTCCCAATAATTTTGTTTTATTTCTAATTTTTTTTTAATAAACTAATTGCTGATATAAATAAAATTATTATTTCTAATATTCTTAAAAATTTAATTATAAAAAATTATTAGTAATATCTTTTGTGAGTTAACGAAAGGAAGAGATGGACGGATGGCCAAGCAGTTACGTTGGCAGCCTACGTAACTGCTTGGCCATCCACTGCATGTCTACTTCAATTTTTCAACAATGGATTACGCTGTACGGCTGCCGCTCAAGATCCTAGAATATAAGGGTGTTTCATATAGATAAATATTCATTGGTTGCTTATTTGATGTCATTTAATTAAATGCCAAAACAAAATATCTTGTTACATCATTACAAGTATTACCGATTACAAGAAGTTCGCAGCTTTAATTAAACGCGAACATTTAATTTATTACGATTTATACATATTTATTAAAAACTGTTTTTATTTAAATGTGACAAATTCATACTTTTGTACGCATTGTTTGAATTTATACGTTTAAAGTTGAAATTTAAATTCGGTTTGTTATTTTCTAAATAAAATCGATTTTGTTATTTTCCTGATTTTATTCAAAAATATAATTTTTACAAAATTGCTTTTGTAAATTCTATGTCATCATCATCGTCAACTTCAGCTTATTCTACCATTTCAAGTTATGGTGTAGCCTCCCTTACATAATCGTCCTCCATTTCTGCCCATGCTTGCCTATCGTTTGCCACTGTCCACCATGTTGTGCCTGCTTGTCTCCTTATGTCATAGTCTCATCTTAAGTATGGACGTCTCTTGGGTCTTTTGATTCCCTGTGGATACTACACTGTGATTCTCGTGGATCATCAGTTGTCAGTCCTTCTTGCCAGATGTCCTGCCCATTGCCATTTGAGAGATTTAATTCTGTGGATTAAATCAGTTACCTGGGTTCTTTGCCTAATCCACTCTATTCTTTTGTGATCTCTCTTGGTTATTCCTAGTATGTATCGCTCCATTGACCTTTGGGCAACTTGGAGTTTCACTGTTATTTCTTTCTTTAGTGTCCAAGTTTCACATCCATGAGTCATGACTGGTAATATGCATTGATCGAATGCTCTTTTCATAAGGTGGATTAGCATTTTAGACCTGAAGATTTCAAAATTTCGAAATTCTGAAATTCTACGTATTTGGTTATATATATGTATAGTTTTTTATGTTCCTTTATTTAATTTCTATCGTCCCGCCATGTTTTTTAACTACGCCATTATATATTTTAATTATCAAAAATTATACTGGCCCATTCATTAAATTTTTTATACTCTTTAGAATGATATTTACTTTAAAATAACTTTGTCAAAAACTGCAATTTTTTCTGTAAAAATTCTTTTTTATGCATATAAATTAACAATGTTAAAGAAAAACAGAATTAAAATAAACTAGGTATAAACTTTCATTTTCTATTATTACCACAATTTATTTTATTTCCTTCATAGAAAAACGATCTTATTTAATTGAATTGTTTATAAATCCCGATTAAATTTAGAATTTAAAATAATTAATGGTAAACGATAGCTTTCTGTGAAGAAAGAACAGGTGTTTAATGCGTCATTTTTCTCTAAAGTAGTAGTGTATTAATTACTAAAGCGCATTGTATCTTCACACATACTTTGTATATACTTTCTATAAAATGAACAAGGACTACAAATTGTCAAGCCGATGAAGGAAATTTCATTATTTTTAAAATTTTGAAAGTTTTCTATTCTTGTTTAACTACTCCGCGCATTCTGTTATTCATCAGCGCGCTGAGCAATTGCTACCAGAAGTGACGTTTTCGCTGATGACGATTGAAAACAATTTTGAGGGAAAAAGAGCTTATTCGTTTACATCAAAATTGCTAATACAATAAATTAATAAATAACAACGGGTTAAATTTTTAAACATATGCCCCGAAAGTGCTACTGAATAAAATAAAATTTGCAGATTGTGAAGCAGTGGCTTGGAATTCGGATTCTGGGAGGAATTTCCTAAAACAGCCGTATGAGACACGTGCGACTAAATATCCAGAAAGCACAACGCATCTGATTAGTCAGCTGAATGACGTCAACCTACTTAAATCGGAAATGTTGATCGATCAGCCTAAACTTGTTTTGTTGTTGTTGTTGTTGTTGTTGTTGTGAGAGCGGGCAGACATTTGGGTGCGTTTACTTCTGAGCTAATTTTACTTTCAGCACGCTCAGCCTGTATACTTTCGTCCGAGTGCCACGCTCATTGGCGTTTACTTTAGAGCTATTGACGTCATGTTTAGCGAAATTGGTAAGCTCGGAGTGCTAGCTAGTTTGTTGTCGAGCTTTGCGCTAATTCAATATGGCTGCTCTCATGAAAAAATTACTTTCTGTACAAAGTACTAAAAATGGAATTAGTTTTCGAAAAATAAACGGCAGAAAGTATTTTTATTGGTAAATTTCAATTATTTCTTGTTTAAAATGTTTACAATGACCGTTTTTTCATTGTAAGGTTCAATAGCTTCAGATGACTTTTTTCATAAACAGGGTTAATTAATGTGAAAAAAATTAAGTTCGATTCATTGTTTATGATTAAAAGTGAGGTTTACCTAATACGCATTTGGAATCTTCAGAAATGTTATGTTCAGAGCATTAAATAAATCGTAAAGAAATGAACAGCATTAATAATAATCCAAAATTACATAAGTTTGTATACTTGAATGAATTTTCACTTACATATGGGAAATGACTTCTCAAGAAATTGTATCATTTGAATACCATTTTTTCATTACAAACTAAACTTATA